TCTTTCTCTCCACAGAACACCCAGCCCATTTTTTCACTTGTAGACAAGGTTTTGCCACATATGGATTGCCCATTTTAGGGTAAAAGTGGCCATACAGAAATTTGACTTTTAAAGAGAAAGGGAAAATTAAAGTCGTGTGACACACTCAGTAGGGCATATTTCAAAGCTGACGTGGGATGGTTTGTCTGAAACGTGTGACCAGGGAACTTGTACCAGTGGAAGGCCAGGAGAGTCTTCCTCCGAGAAGTCAGTCCTGACCAAGAGCAACAGGACTGCAAGACTTCGGTCTTCAAAACCAGAAATAGCCAACATCAAGGCTTCTGCTTAACTCAGGAAGCACTCTGCATTTTCCGCGTCTATTATTCTTGAGTTTTAGGTTGCTATCTTCAATTTCCAGATCTATTTTTATTTCCTAATCAGAGGTTCTACTGCTTTAGAATTTATGTGACTAAATTCTTTAGCTCAGAATTGTTACCAAGTTGTGTTCCTCAAGAAGAACCAAGACCCTGTTTCACTGTGAAGACCCTGACAGATTTACCAGCTTTCCCTGACACCTCTTAGAGGTGGCTGCCAAGTTCACAGCCCCGTTTCCCCTCCAGGAAGACACCCACACAGGGCTAGGTCCTGAGTGATCACATCTGAGCCACACAATCTTGTAATCTTTGCTATAGATGAGTGGTTCAGAAACACTCATGTGTCAGAATCAGCTGGAGGACTTGTTCAAACGCAGGTTGGGGGACCCAGCCCTAAAGTTCCTTTTCCAGTAGGTCTGTGGGTGGGGCTCAAGCATTTGCACTTCTCACAAGTTCTCAGGTGACGTTGATGTTACTGGTCTCGGGCCCACACTTCAAGAGCAGCTGCTGTGGATAATTAAGGCAGAGATAGTTACTTTAAGATAGGGCAATCAGCTTCTCTCAGGAATCTGAAATTTGGAACAGAGACAAAAAGACCGAGGGCTACTAGAGCAATGCTCTGGTAAGAAGGTCTCCAAACCACCACTGTTTAGATTTGCAGAGCTGGCCTGGTTCTTAGGTGGACCCTTGGTTGTTCAATCCTTTGAATAAATCCTATTACATTTTTTATTTTGCATAAAATGGCCGTAGAAAGTTTCTGTAGTCTTGCCCCAAAAGAACTTGATAAGACGTGAGTATATCTTAAGTGTTCCGCCATGAAAACAAAATCCATTGTCAGCATTTAAAACAGATATATAGTTCAGGGAATTGGTCTCCTGGGTGATAGAAGGTCTAAAACAAACAGCCAGTGAGAGATTAACAACAGCAAGAAGCTACCGACACCCTTTGGCTAGAGGGACAGTGGGAGAAGGTGGCATTAACAGAAGCTGGGGTGATCTGGAAGAAGCTGGAACCACAACAGACCAGGCCATTTGAGGAAATGCTGCTGATGCTGCCAGGAACATCACCCAGTGCAACTCTGCAGAGGTGGAGAGGCACCCTGGCTTCTCCCATCCTTCTGCTTCCTATCTCCCAGCAGCCCTCTCCATAGCTTGTGACACTGAGGACAGCTTGGGGCGCTGTGGGAGGAAGGGCAGAGTATGAATCTGAACGCTGGCCAAGAAAAGCACTGTTCAATTTGGATTTCTAATAGTTTCTTCAACGTACATTTTGCCTACTTAAAATTAGTGAGATAATACGTACATGATGTATAATTTCTCAGTTTCTTGTTAAGAATAAGGTTTTTAAAAATTCAGATAGGATTTTATTAACTCGTTTCATAACTAGGATAGACATTTCTAAGATAATCTGCAGGAAAAAATTGCAAGTGATAAAAAGAACTAGCATTTGTATAGCTCTTTTCCATTTAAAATGTGTTTTTATATATGTCATCTAATTTAATCCTCAAAAACCTTGTGAAGTAGGTTTCATTATTAGCCCCATTCTTAAAATAAGGAAACCAAGGCTCAGAGAGAATAAGCCACACAAAACAAACAAAGTCACACTGTTCAAAAGTGGTAAGATAGCATGATCCCCAATCTGGACTCAGCATACAACATCAATTGTTGCAAAACAGCAAGCTACTATGTGAAGACACAAGCAAGGCTACAAACTTAAAGTTCTTTCTCTGTTGATATCCCATTTTCTCCCTTATCTAAAACCCGACATAGAGGAACAAGTATAAAGGACCCAGGGACGATAGCTAAGGGGGGTGGAAATGGGAGGGAGGTGGGGTGCATGGGGGAGGGGTGGGCTGGAATGGGAGAAATAAACAGAAAACTGTACTTGAAAAATAACTAAATAAAAATAAATAAATAAAACCCAACATAAAACTTTGTAACCAGAACTAAGAGATTACTTTGAAAAATCAGCAAAATACCCTATGACATTTTCCCCCTCCTTTACATGTAGAAGGTCAATTAAATCTGTTTTCAGTGGTCCCACAGCTTCCTAATTAATAGACAATGATTATGGGACAAGACAAAACCTTTCTCATAAGATTATTCTAGAATGGCAGCAGTCGTTTTTTTAAAAAATAAGGAACAACGTAAAGAAACTCATTGATAATATAAATTAATAGAATGGGTATTTTTGTTGGTTATAAGACTAGTTATCTAGAAATAATTAAATACAAATACACAATGAGAGAGAGAGAGAGAGAGAGAGAGAGAGAGAGAGAGAGAGAGAGAGAGAGAGAGAGAGAGATCCCTTCTGTCTCCATAGGAGTTAAGCTTCTGGTCCCGGGTCCACAGACTGCGCTTCTGGTGCTGAAGAGCAATCTTTGTCTCCCCTGGTTACCAGTGAAACAGTGTGCAGGAATCAGTTCAAATCCATTGCACTTATAGCAAAATGCTTCCAAACATAATGCCTTGCTTTCAGTATTTATCTATGTTTATATCTGTTTCATAGGAAGTACAGCATAGGAAGCACACATGCATATCCCCACATTTATGTGCCTATATTGTGCATGATGTCCCTTATATACAGAAATAAGCTGTGTAACGTGGCACATCCTTATAATATTAATTGTTATACAGAATAGATTTTTTTTCCCCAGGAGACTCCATTCTCTCCTTCATTGCTGAAAATCCAAGAAAGCTTGCCATAAGGATTTGTCCTATAAAATTACTCCTCAGTGTGCCTGAATAATATACTTTTTTTCCTATAAGGATAAGCCCTGCCTTATGGAGACTCTCCACATCCAATTTGACTAAATTAATATCAGGCTCACTGATTATATTTCCATCTAAAAGCTTTACACTGTCATAAAACTGGGAGAGCTTTTAGAATCATCCCAGGTCAAGTTTCTTGACTATTTTCCCACAATGAACTGCAATGCATTAAGCCTACTAAGCCGACCCATTAGCTGGAGTGTCACTGATCGTACTCTTGATCTGATGGCCAATGGAACATTTGTATTGTCTGGGTTCCATTTAAGACAATATTTGGAATGGATGGAATAGTTCAGAACAGGAGAGCAACATTCAAAGGTATCTTTCTTCAGTGGAGAAAAATGTGTCTGGTACATAAGCAATGGGCTGGTTTAAAGGAAACCGGAATTTGGCACTGAAACACCTCTCAGTAAAACAAAGCATTTTCCTCCCCCCTGAGATTCTGAACTAGTTTCATGAATATTTTTCTCTTGAAACTAAGTTATTGTCGCATAATAAAATGAGAAAATAAATTATAAGACTTCCATCAACAGTTAGGTGGAGAATTGTTTAAAATCTTAATTGTGGACTTTCTTTTTACAAGACATACAGTATTCCAGAGACTGTGCTAGCAGAAGTCTCAGCGGTGTGAGCTGATCGATAAATATGACTTTGACATCAAATGCAGTTATAATGTACTCTACTTTTATAACAAATAACTAGGTGCAACTTTTTCACTTAAAAATAAAAATGGAGATTGGTTCTCAATGTTAATTTTTTCATATTTGATATTCATTGGACAATGAAAAATGCCACGGAAATATCTCACATTAAAAATAAAATCTCGAAGGTTCAGAACTCAGATACACACCTTTTGCTCACCTTTAAATAAACATGTAGGTATATTAAGATCACGGCAATTTGCGAACAGCACGTTGTTCGATTTAGGCCATTTAAAAAATTCTGAAGCTAAAAGCATGGGTACAGTGTCATGGATTTAAAAGTACATTTGTACGTATACATCTCATTTATTAAAACTTTAGAAAAAGATGTCTTCCTGGGAGTTGAAAGCCATCAGAGCGGGAAGTCTGCTGCAGCGTAGAACAAAAGCATGGCTGCGCGGTAGTATTATCTCTGTAGCCGCAGCAGCAGCAACAGCAGCAGCAGGCTCCCTGAGGGAGGGTTTGCGGCGACTGTCTTGTCTATTACACTGCATTTTTATTAGTGACAGCCTCCGTTATTCTGTCAGCCCAGTCAACTAAGCTGTTCCCCGCGAACTTCGTTAAATGGGAGAAGGAGAGACAGAAAGGTAAATTATACCGAGTGGGGCACACGGGGATTTATTTCTCTCCTTCAAGGTGGGGTACGCCTCATCCTCGGGGACTGGGGGAATTCCTGGACTGCATTTAACCCAGAAACCCGTGCGTCCTATTAATTAGTTGCTACACAGAGGAAAGGCGTTGAAAGGCTTTATCTTCTGTTTCCAGCTGGGGCCAACAGCGCAGGGTTGGTCAGAGCTGCCTAGCCAGTGCGCACTAGTCCCGGACCTTTTCGGGCCCTCAGAACCCCCACCCGCCGAGTGGAGGTCAAGTCAAAGAGCACTACCGCAGGGTGCTCCCCCCACTCTCTCGCCCGCGCTGTCCGCAGCTTAGCTTCTGAACGACCACCGCTAAACACTGCAAGGCTTGAGGGCGGGGAAGGGGGCGGGTCCTGGTGGGGGCGGGACTAGGGGGCGGAGACAAAGAGGCCGGGGGAAATGCGTCGGGAAGTGTAGTTCTGCTAACCCCAGTAGCGTAGCCACCCAGGCTCTGTTTGAGAAATTGGGACTACAACTCTCAGGAGTCCGCGGGCCTAATAAGGGAAACCCATGCGCAGTGGGCGCCACATCCTATCCTATCAGCAGAGGAGAGGGTGATGTCACCTGCGAGTTGGTAACCTACGAGCGGCTGTGAAGGAAACTGTTTAACCGGATCCCATTGTACCCGGGGCGCAGAGCCGCCTTTCCAGCATGCAGGGGCTGCTCAGGTAAGGGGGATGTGCCGTCTCGGTCGCCGCACTCATTCATTAAGTGGCACCGCGCGGTGGCGTGGGGGTGGGTGCGCTTTTTCGGGCCGGCGCTGGTTTCGCGTCGCGCCTTCCAGCTGCCGCCCTGGAGCTCGCAGACCAGTGGGTAAATATTAAACCCGTCCTTCAGGTTGGGTCTGGGTGGGAACAGGACCTAGAGAGCTCCCGGCTGCCAAGCTGGATTTGGGAAAATGGCTGCAAGCACGGCGCAAAGCGAGGCGAGCACAGAGGAAGGCGCCCCTGAGGATGAGGGTCCCTCCCTCCTTTCTTTCAGAGGAGCTCGGATGCCAAGCCAGCCGGCAGGGTACCAGGTACAGCCGCCTTGCTGCAGTCACTCGGGGGGTAGGGCGCTGAGGGTCGTGGCCTTGGCTGCGCGCTGCGGGCACTGCTGCTGTTGGGAACTGCTGGCTGAGGAGGCTCCCAGGGTGAGAATCCTGAGGCTCGGTGGATTCAGAGGTGGCGACAGGGTAGGAGGAATTCTGAGTAGAGTCCTCACCACGCCTGGCACCTTCACTTACTCGAAAGGGATGGGACAACTGTAATTCAGGCAAAGTTGTAAGCTAAAGGTTTCAAAAGAGAGAGAGGGGAGGGGAAACCCGCGCTGCGGAAGGAGCAAGGGGTGTTGGCGACGGCGGACCGGGTTCCGGGCGCCGCAGAGCGTTCCTGCCCCTCGTCTCTCCGAGGAGGGCTCATCTTGGTCTACCCTGATTGCTCCCTCGACAAAGAGCACCTGAGCTGGGGTGAAGCCTCAGCTCTGCCCTCAGCTCTGGGGTGGGAAGTGGTAAAGCAGTGGAGGTGTCGAATAATCTACTGGTAAGGTTCGCTGTGGGGCAGGAGGGCTCGGTGACCGGGTTTTCCCAGCTGGGGCCGAAAACTCAGCTGCTTGTGATGCGCTGGCCCTTCGATGGGAGACAAGCGCGAGGCCCAAGAACTGTATAAAGTTCTCTGAAAACGGGAGGATTTCCTTTCCCGTTCTAGCACCCTTGTTCTTTAGCTTACACACTGGTTGATCAAACCGTGCAAAGGGCCAGCACGGTTTGATCAACCAGGGTTCAACTTGCTCACAGCCTGGTGTTCTGTGTCCAGGAATAGATACCCACGTTCCATTTCTCCCAACCACGCCCCTTTTTGCCCCGCTGCCCATCTCCACCCGCAGATGAGCATCAAGAGCAAATGCCACCCGTGACCGTTTTGCTGTCATTAAGCTGGTAGTTTCTTGAGGCTTGAGAAGGACCTAGTGAATCGAAGCGGAGTTTGTCTGCAAGATGAATCCCGTTGCCATGGCGACTCCTGCCGTCGGAATCTTAACTGCTCTCACTGCTGCTTCAATTCGATGTGGCTCTGCGGGCAGCTGGGAGGGAGTGGCCAGTGACAGTGGTCAAATGCTCGCCCTGGGCCCAGCTGCTCTTTCCTCCTCACCGGTTTCACAGCCCTGGGGTTCTCTCCATTTTCGTGTAAATGGATTGGACACAGTACTTAGCCTCTTTCCCTCTCAGAGTGCCCATGCCTGTCTCTTCCCTCCCCAGAAATAATTGTTTGGAGCCTTTTTCCTGAGGCATACTCTGAAAATTACAATGGAAAGATATCTTTTCCCCTTTCAGGCTAGTTACTTCATTTTTCTCGTACCGGGTATTATAGTGTTGGAGGTACCTTTCCCACGAGGGAGCTCTCTATTCTGCTTGTGGGGAGCTCCCTGGCCACCAGTAAAGGCTCTCAATTTGACTTAGGTGCAACTCACTGGAAGTTTTTATGGACAAGTAATAATAGAAATTGGATTCTGGAAGTCACTGCCATCCCTTGTGGTTCTGATAGAATCCAAAAGCCTGCTTAGAGGATGCAGGTTCTTGAGAGTGAAGCAAGCTGGCCTGGGATCTAGGAAGCCCGCTCTGGGCCCTAGGCTGCTTCTGGCACTACTGGCTACCCCACTGTGGGGTTACTCCGTTACCTCTGGGGACCTCAGTCATGGTTGGTGTGGGGAGAAGGGTACAGAGGGTTTCCTAAAATTGATTCTAGGTAGAAAATTTTGTGACTCTAAGAAGGGCTTGGTCGTTGTCTTTTGTTTTTCTCAAAGAAATCTGAAATGAGAGTTTAAACGCAGCTTCTAACACTGGCATTGGGTTAATAGCTCTGAACCTCACTTGTGTGGCGAAATAACCTTGCTGTTCATGGCAAGCCTTCAAAGTGGGCAAGGCAAGACATGTTACTGTTTATATTATTTCTACTACTACTACTATTATTTCAGTATATGGTCTTCTATTTGTTCCTTTATGTTAGAATTAATTGTTCAGATTTTTGCCTTTTGTGAATGCAGTTATTTGCAACTTAGTTGCATTAAGTGTAATTGATTACACAAGTATTTTGTTTTTCTTCTGCTCTCATTTCATACCAAGGTATGTTATCCCAGATATTGCTGTTAAGCGGGGGAGGGGGAGAGTGTGTATCTTCGAGCATCTATGCACGTGCCTTTGTGAGTAGGTCAGTGCTTGGGCCAGGTGGTTGACATTCATCGTCTCCTTTTAAGCAGGTAGATACTTCCCCGTGAGGAAGCAGACAGAAGTTGTCACTTACCCTCTCTCCTTTTGTCCTAGATTATCATCCACTGAAACAAAAATCTTCTTTATCTGTGTACTTCCTGTCTCCCTATAATTCTGACACCAATTCCAATGTATGGAGTTTTCGCCAATCTTCCAAGGTCTCTGAGAGCAGGGTCTTTGTCTTGTCTATCCCTGCCTCTCCAGCATTTAAATCAGTGCTTGTCCATGTAGTACTTACTAAATATATGTGGAGTCAATATTAAGTAGTAGAGCCATGATGGGAGATCCAAAAATCTGTATTCGTTCCGCGGATAGTACTGTCATCAATTGTAACATTTCTCTTAGCTTTCTGTCGAGCAGTTTCATGGCAGCCTAAACTAAAACTCCTGTGTCGCCTGTGACTTGAAGTATAAAAGGCCCTTCTATGTGTTTGAAATAGACATATTTTGTAATTATTTGCTTTTGGAATACATTCACCCATACAGAATTTTCCCCCTATAATTCTTTTTTAAAAGGTTTTATTTATTAATTTTGGAGAGAAAGAGGAAGAGAGGGGAGGGAGGGAGAGAGGGCAAGAGGGAAAATGAGAGAACAGAGACTTCGATTTGTTGTTTCACTTACTTATGCATTCATTGGTTGATACTCGTAAGTGCCCTGATTGGAGATTGAACCCGCAATATCGGTGCATCGGGGCTATGCTCTCACCAACTGAGCTACCTGGCTAGGACCCCTGTAATTTTTAATACAATTCTTATTACCCTAGATCAGACATTTCTAGATTTCTATACATCGTACTATCCTTGGTCCAGATAACATTCCCAGGAGGTGAATGACAGAACACAGAGACTAAGACAAAGATACTTAGAAGCTTTTGCCAGTCCACCAATGGCTCCTGGGGCACGCTTTGGGTAGAAAAGCTAGACAGTAGTGCTCTCTCTGGGATGGAGTTGTTCTCAACAGGATCAGTTTGTTCCGGGCTGGCTGACCTGAAGGAGGAACAGGGTGGGAGACATTTGTCCAGTATTTGCAACATTCTGCTCCCATGTGGTGAGTCGGGTTCTGTGGGTTTTCAGAAGTATGAATTAGTGAGGAGGTGTGATGGTGAAGAGGGTGTGGTGGGTTATGTCCTTGGGTGGTGCTTACAGGAGCTCAGTGAGTAGGTGCCAAGGAATTTGAATCCTGGCTTGCTTGCTTTGCAGACACGCTCTGGCTGTTACGAACGTGTGTGTTGTGTCTGTGTGTGGTTTTATGTGAGCTACTTTTTTAGAAGGCTGCTTTTGTTGTTGGTAGTATGGTCATCAGAACAAATCAGGTGATTGAGAGTATTTCATTTTGTAAATGTTTGGGGGATGCTATAAAGAGTGGCTTTGGCTTTAGAATCTTGAGTTCTGTGAAATACCTTAAAAAATTATACCTGTTGGACCAGGGGAAGTGAGCTTTCCCCACAGAGCTTGGTGCCACTGAGAATATCAGGTGTTTGACTCAGGAACTAATCACAGAGCTTGTAACTTCTATGGAACACCCCCTGGCTTCATGTTGTGCCCCTGGAATTTCCAAGTGTTAAAGTCTTTCCCTTACATTGCAGGAAACAAAGCAATTTTGCCAAGTTATGTTAGCCACCTTGATCAATTTCTAGAGGGGGCACCACCAGTCAAAATGAAAAACAAATTTCTATTTTATTTGTGTATTTTCCTTTGAATAGACAGTGTGCACTACTGTCGCTTATTTTAACATTACAATTTCTAACTTGGTCATGGAGGAAAACTTCTAAGTGAATATATATTTTAAACACTCGCAGCAGTTCTTATTGGTTTTCCCAAGAACTCAGTTTGGAGGCAATTGAGATAGTACAGGTAACATTTAAGAAATAGGTAAGGAGGGCAGTTTCTGTCTGTTGGCAGGGCAGGGCAGGCCAGGCCGGGGCTGAGGATCCCTCTCTTGAAGTGACATTCACTTATCAGGTGCACTGTCTCTTTATGTAGATTGTGCTTAGGGCGGCTGAGAGCTGCTGACAGATTAGAACTGAAGGGTGGATCTTTGTCTCCCCCCTTCACCCAGCTTCCTCCAAGGCACCACTTAGTTCCCGCACGGAAAGAGGGACAGATGAAGATGAGATACAGGTTGACTTTGGTGACCTACATTTCACTCCACTGTAGCAGACTATTTCTGTAGCAAAAAAAATTTTTTTTTACCTTGTTATCTTCTGGCATCCATGGGAACAGAGAACTGAGCATTTCATAGTGGGTTTACATTCATAGTATATGTGTCCAAAACTGAGTTAAGTGGGCAACCCTAGAAGCACTGCGACAGGCGTACAGAGCCCCTTCCTCCATGAAACCGAGGTTGCCAAATACACCCTCAGCAGCTGTGGTGAGCTTATTTTCCTTGTTGGTGATTCAGCATGCCTGGTTTTTACCTCTGTGAATT